TTTCTGCAGTCGTACGACTGTTTCAAGTTAAGAAATGTGAGGGCCTCTCATAGGTCCGCGCTCGCGCCATACGTTTACAATGGCAAGCGATAAAGCTAGTGAAGTGGGTCAAATTAAAACCTTTCCCCTTGCCTTATTTTGAAAATTTAACCAATTTTGACTATTGGGAAAGATGTCTTAGGCTCAAAACCCCATTTCAACGCGAAAGAAGGATTTTGAACGTATCAGGTATTTGGTCAAATTCGTAAAATCAAATGTGAGGGCCTCTCATAGGTCCGCGCGCGGCATTCATATAGTCAGGCTAAAAATTTTCGAATCATTATTCAGTTTACGTTACAAGTGTAAGGTACGAATATCAAACTGCTACCATGTCTGGACGAGGAAAGGGAGGAAAAGGTTTAGGAAAAGGAGGAGCCAAGCGTCACAGGAAAGTTCTCCGTGATAACATCCAAGGTATTACCAAGCCAGCTATTAGACGTCTAGCTCGACGAGGTGGTGTCAAACGTATCTCCGGCCTTATCTACGAAGAAACCAGAGGTGTATTGAAAGTCTTCTTAGAAAGTTTACGTTACAAGTGTAAGTTGAACTTGTATGGCTCGGAATGAAGGAAAAATGGATGAATCTTGTGATATTTCAACAATGGAGGATGGATTCATAGGAATTTAGCCCTAATAATAAGTTAAGTTCATTAAAAACAGTTTTATTAACATATATTTTCATTGTTTACATGAAACCAAGCAACAGAATGTGAACTTCCGGTCGAAGTTAATCCGGGAGTACTGACCTGGTACTGGAGTAGTCCGGGTCTCTGAACTCTGTTGATACACTGTATATATTAAGTCAAACTGAAAAAAAAACCAAAAAAAAAAAACCTTATTTATTCATGTATTATATATAATTTTTCATTTATATTTTGTATATCGCATGATATAAAGATGTCGGTCCATACAAGGAAAGTCACCTTAACCGACAAAGGAATGATCAAAGAAAACGTGTTCAAACGGACCAACACTATTGCTATATGGGTGGAAAATGAGACCAACGAACGTGTAAAATCACTAGATATTCTATACCATATACAGAATGTAAGTAGTTCTACAATACCTACTATAAAATGCCTTCAGAACACCGAACCCAACTGCTTCTATATTACATTCGACAATGAAGCAAACATGAAAAAATTTAACGAACAATTCAAAGACAATCTATACGTAAAGGGTCAAAGCATGATGATACAGGACTGCACAGAAGAAATTTGGACTGAGCCTGTGGATAAAATCACAATTACAATTTTTGGCGCACCCTACCAATTGGACAACCAAGAAATTTTCAAAAAACTCTCACGATACTGCACAATAGTGAATATAAGGGAAACAAATTTCGGCCCTTTCCCTTCAATCAACAGTGGGACCAGACTGGCATATGTCAAAGCTGTCATAAAGCCAATACCAACCAACATCTTTATAAAAGGTAAACGTATTGGCATAAGGTACGAGGGTCAACCAAAACCACAACGTAAATGCTACAAGTGTGGGGGATATGGGCACACTGCCAATGAATGCCCCACCCTCGACCTTGACAACGACCAACAGGAAAATGAAACACCAAACAACAATGACGTCAGACAACAACCCGAAGACACCAACTCTGTATGGGCGAACCCAAACCCGACCCCATATGAGATAAGTAGAATGTCAAAAAGGCCTAACCCCACCCCAGAGACAGAAGCACTAACTCCGAAAGATATCAGGCCCATGGCACAATCCACCACCACAATGCATGAGAGTGTAATCCAGGAGAAGGAGGTCATCCTAGAGGCCCTATCAAAATCAATCAGGCACCTAAATGAAATGCCCCTCTCCTCCACCCCAGTTAAAATACCAGACTTGCCACCCCCCCTACCCGTCTCACCACCACCAATGCTTGAGGAAAGTGAGACGACGAGTCTGGCTATGTCGGATATAGAATCGTCAAAAAATAGCACTGATTCCGGAAGCACAGCCACCTCGGTGGGGCAATGCTCCGAAATGTCCGACATTTCAAATGACATATCAGAAAGTTTCTTACAGTTATATGGAGAAGAACTGAAAAGAAAAGATAAAAGCTACGAAACAGAAAACATCACAGAAAAAAAGGCGAGGACAGCCTCGCCTAGGACAAACTGAAGTCAAAATCTATAAAGGTACTGTAAAACTAACACTCTATTAATA